CTCGAGGCCACCGATGGCGAGCTCGGCGGTTATGTCCAACAATGCATTGGATGAGGACGAATTTTGGAGGGATGCTTAGGAAACACTTGGGAAAACTCTTCAACAACTTCAAAAGAAGATTTTGACCGAAAATAGAGAGGGTCCTGGAGGTTATAGAGGCTCAAGTGTTAAGTGTTGTAAATGTGTAGAGAGTCTAATTTGTGAGGAATTCTTCGAGAGATTGTAAGAGTTGAGGTAAAGTAAGATATTTCTTCCTCTTTACTGCTTCAAATAGGAATTCTATGTGCTATAAAGAAATGAAAAGATTCAGAGGAACTTTGAGGAGTTTGCTTGGGGAGAAATTAGAGATAAGTTTATTTACTTGTTGTAGCTTGTATGACATTGCTTTTATATATGAATTCAGAGTTTTGTTGTGTTTTTCCCATGAGATTTGAGTAATTTTCTCTGTCTTTCTCCTTGTATTGAGATTTGTGAAATGCTGATTTGAGTTGGTGAAGCCATGAAAATGTTAAAGAAGTTGTGATGATCTTTTCACTTCGATCTTAATTTACTTTCAATCTGGTCAATTGATTTGTTAAAATATGTTGAGTTTTACAACTAAAGTGAAGATCACATCCAAGATTCTTAGAGGTCAAAGCCCTAGGAAGTTGGGTGCAAATAAATAAGAAAATATTATTATCGGGCGTAGAATTGGAGATTTTAGAGTGACAGACTAAAATCCCCAATTCGGTCTTGGGGTGCTGAAGTGTAGATGTTAGCCCTCAGGTGAGGGGAACGTGGGAGATCCAAAGTGAGAGCTGATATCCTCCCAACTATTTTTTTTTAATTTATCGGGTTTTATTAACTATTGTGATTTATACAAATGCTAAAATTAAACTTAGATTTTTCCAAAAGTCCTTTGACCACATGGAACCTACCAAAACAAATTGCATAATTTTTTTTTTCATATTTTAATTTATATTTTTATTTTAAGCAAAATAACCATCCAAACTTAGAAATTAGGGTTACATGTGTAAAGATGCTTTCTGACTTTGGAAATAACACAAAACATCCCCACGGTTATGTTGATTAAACCCCTAAAATCCTAATTCATGATGATTATTATATAATTAATTAAAATTAAAACATTACAAAGGCTATTTAATTAATTAAAAATCAGAGAGACACAAAATAATTTTTATTTTTATTCCACATTAATCTCCTTTATTCACTGAGCAAGAGGGTATTTTTTATTTATTTTGGTGAATTTTCTACACCAACATATGCATTTTTGAAGTTTTGGAATTAAAATAAATAAAAAACACTTAGTTTTCTATTTAAACAATCAGCAGCCACGTAATCCTGCGGTGCTTGATACACCTAAAAAATGTGCAATTTTTCTTATACTTTTAATGCATATATTTGGTAATTTTTTGATGATTTGCACTTTAAAGAAAGGTATTTTTTATATTTTTTTGCATGAATGATGAATTAGTACAGGAATGATGAATTAGGGTCATTGGAACAAAAAGATGCAAAAAGAGGCAAATTTGGAGCGAAAATGACTAAAAAGTGAAGATTTGAACTAGGGCGCTGACGGCGAGCCCAGCGGCACCGACGACGGACAATTGTGAGGAATTCTTCGAGAGATTGTAAGAGTCGAGGGAAAGTGAGAGATTTCTTCCTCCTTGCCGCTTCGAAGAGGAATTCTGTGTGCTGTAAAGAAAGGAAGAGATTCAGAGGATCTTCGAGGAGTTTTCTTGGGGAGAAATTAAAGTTAAGTTTATTTATTGTTGTAGTTTGTATGACTTTG